TAAGGGCAGGGCACTTGTGACCAATCACCGGTCAGAGGTCCCACCTCTTCATATTGTGACAAAGGCAATTAAGTGTCAAGGTGAGCCTGAAGGGGACATTGAGACCACAGGGGCGGCATTACGTGTTGGAGAATGCATCATATGCCTCTGACGAAGCAGTGTTCAACAGGAATTGTCACGGGATAGGGGCCCGGACGGTCCCAGCACAGAGATGAGGAACCCAAACCTACCCTGGCCACAGAATAAGCTTGTTGATTCCCGTTGCAGAAAAAGAATCATCAGGCCCAGTCAGTAAGAGCCCAAAAGCGATTTATTAGAAAGAATTTCAAAAGTACACACTCAAAGAAGTAGAGTGCAGGCCTTCAAGAGAGAAGTGAGCTTTCTTCTGGAGCTGAGAACATTTATGTTTCTCTTGAAGGGTAGAAATAGCTGACCTGCCAGAAAGATAATGACCCATTTTACAGGTATGGGCCAACGTGTTGTTTTAGATGGATAATCTAAGCATTCTTGGAGTTCTCTCAAACATGTTTCTTTATCTTAAGATCAGATTTTGCTCTTTACTTCCTCAATTAAGCTAATTTATAAACTTACAGTATCATTAAGGAATCTGGGGTGTGATGGGTCTGGAAGGAAAGAAGCATAATTTAACCGCAAAAATGTCGATACATATTGCCGTGGGTAACTCGCTGTGTCCCTGAAGTTGCAGTACTCCTAGAAGTATATATATATATATTCTTTATATTATGACTTTCCTTGTCTCCTTTTACCTACCTTTACTTCTTCTGCCCCACCTCATCCTCCATCCCTCAAGACTTTGACCCCTGAGTCTTAAAAAACTAAGAGTGGCCATACCTACTTCAGGCTAAGGGGTGTGCCGGCCCTGCCCAGCTAAGGATCAGAAGTATCCCTCTTACAGCTAGATGGTTTTGTTTGATGAACCCTCACCTTTGATGGTCTGGAAAAGTGGACAAGGACATTAGAAAGTCACGGACTTTTAAACCTCATTGTGTAACCATGTTTAACAAACAAGCAGGGACCAGAAATTAAAAGTAGAATTTTGGTGCACTGTGGCCCTAAAAAGTTGTAGAAGTCAGAAAAAATTAAGTAGCATTTGTGAGAAGCCTTGAACCATTCATATTATCCTCTATTTGTTTTGAGGGGTTAACCTAGACACAGCAAGTGGGGTTTAACAGCATACACACTGCTCCCTATTTTGTCCAAAAACTCTAATGTTCTCCTATTTTCATTAAAACAATAGCAAAAGACTACACTAAATAAAGGTCTATGTTCGTTTGTGATCATTGGGCCATTAAAGTTTCTACTATAGGGCTCAGAACCTGGATCTGGTCTCTATTTCGTAGACTTAGAGACTGTTTGTAGGCACTGGCTCCAGATAACATAAACATAAAATGTGTAGTAGATAACAGAAAGTCAGTTTATACCACAAAGGTAACAAAGCTTAGTAGCTAGAGCATTTCTATCGCCATTTTTTATTTTATGGCACATTTAAGCCTTTACCTGAGGGGTTCTTGAAAATACATGAAAACAGCATAATGTCAATACATAAGAGAGGCTGAAGGACACATTTTTGGAAGGGCTCGTGGGCCTGGGAATCGTGACTTCTTACAGCTATGGATGTTATAGGTGTAGCTGGAGACTGCCAGCCGGGGCTGGAGCCCCTTCTTGTATCCAGCCTAGCTTTCACTCTAATTTTTTTGTTATACTTTCCTGCTGGATGTCATCACCGAGGTCAGTTAAGGCTCCCCAGGGACTACTGCTGGGGCCATTGCAGAGCCTCTTAGCTTCTCCAGTCTTTCCTCCACCAGCTGTGTCATTTTCCAGGGTGGATCCTTGTCTCGCCCGACCGTGTGGCTGCCCTTGGAAGCACGGAGAACATGTACACTGGTTGCCTCCTGTCCTTGGGGGGTCAATGATCCCCGTGTTTGGGAGGGTGGGTGACTCACCCGAGTGGCAGGATCCTTTGGGGGATTCTAATCGTTGCCTTGGGTCATAGCTAACCTTGCAGGGTAAGGGCCAAAATACTGGCCATCCTCTTGGCCCGGTTATCTTCCTGAGCTTGGGTCTCCAGGCCTCAGCTGAACATTTGCAAGGTCAGCTACGTCAGTTGTCACGGCCTGGGTCGAGATGTCCCCTCAAAGCCTCATGCAGTCAGAGGTGGGGCTTTTTCAGAGGTGGCTAATGTAGAGTGTGTGACTGATTCATGTGCAATGCTAGGATCAAGGGTGGGTGATTACGAAGTCAGTCTGATGGATTTGGCATCACACAAATCCTGGTAGCCTGGTACAATATAAGGGACAAAAAGAAGCTTGTCTCTTCCTTTCCTTGCTTTGCTACCTTCTGCCCACTGTGGACCGTTTTGCCTCTGTGATGCCCATCTGCCATTTGTGCTGCCTTGGAGCCAGCTGATTATGGACTGAAACCTCTACAAACTGTGAGCTAAGTCATCTTTTCTTCCTTAACTTGTGGGCATTGAGTATTTTGTCCCAGCGACGAGAAAAGTAACTAAGACACCAGTCTTGAAGTAACAGCAGTGGGTCTTAATCTTAATTAGAGGTTTTTTTTTTTTTTTTTTGATATTGTAGCACTTTGAAATATAAAGCGTGACTAGGGTTTTTTTTTTTTTTTTTTTATTTTGTAGCACTTTGAAATATAAAGCGTGACTAGGGAAGAGCTACCTTTCATTAACCATGGTCAGCTCCAGGGTGAGGAGTCAGTGTCACATTCTGTCTGTCCTGTAAGGGACATGTAGGTTGTCCTTTAGCAGTCATAGTCCTGCAGAATAACAGGTAACAGTTATAAAGGTTTACAAGGAAAATTCAGAATAAAGAAGATCAAACAGCATTTTAGGGTATGAATCATGATGCATTATTATTATACCAGAATCATCAGGTTCTTTTTATGTCTCTAAAATACATTTCAATTCCCATTTTAGTATGAAATAACAATAGGTTACTGATATCTAATTACAAAATGTTAAATGACATAAATGAATCTTACCTAAATTTCATTCATATTTCAATAATAAATACTTTCATTTATTATTATTATTATTATTATTATTATTTTGAGACAGAATCCTGCTATGCAGTTCACTCTGGCCTTGAAATCACTACATAGCCCAGGCTGCCCTTGAACTCGTGGTGATCTTCCTGCCTCAGCCTCCTGAGTTCCAGGATCATAGGCATGCACTACCAGGCCGAGCTACTGTACACTTTTAAAATAAACTGTGTAAATAGAACACGCTTGTTTACAGATGCAGTTGACAGGTGATGAGCACCCACTCTGTGATCATTGCAGTGGTGCTGCCTGGACTACATAGTATTCTGCACATCTAACTATCCTAACGCACTTACAAAACAATCACATAAACATAAGCCTGCATTTTAAATGTCTGTCATTACAAACAATTTTGTTTGAGGACACCAGTATGGTGAAGTATTCTAGTTTCACATTTTAGAAGGCTTATACACATGGAGAACATAAATGTATTTAATATACAAGAAGCTAACAATAATTGGCGTCATAGCTATGCAGCAAATATATATATACATGAACTTCGTTTTTACTCTTAAGGGGAAATGTAGACTCCTTTAACAGGCTTACATAACATAACAGCACGAATATAAGTCAAAGGATACCATTAGACCGCTGAGAAGTTTAGGAACATTGCTAGTGACCACAAATAGCTTCATTGTCCAATATATGTGTATCTCATTTATACAGTAACAAAGTGCTTGTTCAGTCAAAGCCTATAGGTGTAGATCAAGCTTTGTTTAAATGACAGAATTAAATTGTACCAAATATAAAGAGCAGTGGTACCAGAAACATATTGTATAAAAGAGAACAATTATTGCTTATTTTGCGTGCATTAAAGTTATGTAATTTCAATTCTAAAACTTAACATTAGAGGAAGCTCATGCTTGCAGAATATTCCATCCTCAGATACACATGCTTCTTGTCTCAGACATCTGTATCTACACCTACATCTGCATCTTTCTAACTATACCTGTTATAAAATAATATTCTTCATTTAACCAGTTATAAACTGATTACTGAGAACATTGTACAACAAGCCAACTGCCCGGTTCAGGCCAGCAAGCCCCATTAGAGAGACGAATGAAGACACGAGAGACAGAGAATATCTTTGTTGGGGGTCAGGGGTCTTCACCGGAATGGAGGCAAGCCCCGAACTGACTCGGACCCCCAGATTTACTGAGGAACAACAAAGGCAATAAATAGAGTATTGCTGAGTACAGACGTTTGTTCTAGGTGGTGAGGCAGGCCAGAAAGGCATGGTGACAGTTTGAGTGAATAGCTTTTATCTGATTGGCCCCAGGGGAGCTTCTCTGACACCAATACTCCCTGCCCAAGGTCCATCTCTGCTCCGAAACTGTTGAAACATCCATCTTCCAAACGTTTTGTTTCCTTGGGGTCAGCGGTCTTTGCCTCTTGAATCAACTCAAGCAGACATCAACCTGTTGGGTATTGCAATGAACCCCGCACCAATATATAAATAAACCTTGACCCTTAAAACTCTGTTTATCTCTTATTTCTTTTTTTTTTCTTTTCTTTTTTTTTTTGGTTTTTCTCCGGTACCGGGAACTGAACTCACGACCTTACAAGGCAGGCGCTTTTGCCGCTGAGCTAAATCCCCAGCCCCTATCTTTTCTTTCTTTCTTTCTTTCTTTCTTTCTTTCTTTCTTTCTTTCTTTC